GGGAGGTGAAAACTGATACAGAAAAAGAGGATGATATAGAAGAAAATGAATATTGAAAAGTGGCAGATGTGGTGCGAGGCCTGCTCTGACAATGGAGATCAGTATTTCAGCTAAAATGTAAAGCCATGGAAGCGGCATCCACATGTGGTTATTTAAGCTCCTGCGGTAAACTCCTCAGTAGGTGTCAGTCCTGTGCCTCAGCCAAAGTCTAACCTTCTGCCTACACACATTTCTCAGCGTTTTCACTTGGAGGCATTTCCAGGCCTGTCTCCTATTTGCAGAGCTGTGAGGCAGGGCCCCCCAAACACCTTGTTAAGGTTTTGATGCTTCGTTGAAGGGAAGGGCAGTCCTTCCTCCTCAGGTTGGTGCCAGCCCTGCTGCTGGCGGTGCTGAGCTCCCTCGCAGATACTTCCAAGAAGCAATCTGTTTTCCTTTCAAATAGGCAAGTGGGCATCATACCACAAGTATGCAAAGCCCCTCTGGAAGGGACTGGGCTGCCTTCCTGCACTGGGAGATGGTTTAGCAGGTGCCAAGCTGTGTTTGTGCCTGAGGAGCAAACACTCCGCAACTGTGCATTTCCCCGGGGGCCCAGGTCCTGCCTGTCACCTCAGTTCACTTTCTGTACCCTTGCCTTGAGTCATGGGAGGGCAAATCATCTCCTCTGGAGGCCGGCCTGCCTGCCTCTTGTCTGACCTATAAGGAAGGTGGCTCCTGGGTCAGCTCCTGCACATCCAGTGCTATGTCCCCATCAGAACTGGATGCGTTGTCTGGCCAAGGTTGTCCCGGGATGCATGTATGCTCCTTGTTTGGACCACGGGGCTCCTGCAGTGGGTGGCCATCGGTGGGTGACCAGAGAAACAAACACACCAAAATCTGTCAGAATTACGTGGTCAGCAACAAAAGAGCTGCGAAGGATAACCAAGAGTGTGCTGTCACTGAATAGGTAAAGGAACAGGAGAGGACGGCAGGTTATGGTGTCTTCAGGAACAGATCATGTATCCTTAGAACATTACTTATCTCCTCATGAGCAGCCCACGTAGAGCAGAAATACTGTAGCTTCTTGGGGAAGAAAAAGAACAAAGCCTGCCCTCCCCTACTTACACTGAGCCAAACCTCTCCCCTGTG